CTTGTCACCATCTGAAGCAGACTCTAAAACCCCTACCAGGAGTGGTGTGGGGCCATGCCCAGCCTGACCCTGGCTGTGCCCACTGTGCTCTGACAATAGCTCTCTGTGATACAGAACACCCTGCTGTGTTGTCTATACCCTTCACCCGCCTCAGCCTGTGCCAGCCTCCACCTCCTCTCCAGCCAGGATGGAGTCCAGGGCCAGCTGAGGAGCTGCAAGGAGTTCCACCCAGGGCTGCAAGACATTGCATTTCCACATACAGAGTGGCAGGGGCCACGGCTCAAGAAACAGCTCTACTCACACTTGACCTACCACAGACACCTCTGCCCTGCCCTGGGCACCTCCACCCGAGGAAACTGCAGCACAGGCCAGGCTGGCTCCCTATCACTATAGCAACGGCTGCGCATGAGCTGCTGGGAGACAAAGTCCTAACTAGGAGGCGGAGGGCAACAGAGGTGCATCTGGTTACAGGCACAGGTCCAGCGCTACCTGTCTTACCTGGGTGACAGCAAGTAACCTAGAGATTCTGTCTCTCAAGACAAGGCCCATGCATCCGCACTCCCCCAGTGTCTCCATGCTCACCCGGGGCCTGAGCAAACTCATGCTTGCTGTGATGGGGGATGGGAGGGTGGCAGGTAATGCCCAAATGTGATGTTAGCTTCTACCACAGCTACTCAATACTGGTGATCATCCTAAGGGTGCCAGGGTGGACCCACGTCCCATGTGCAACTCTACAACAGGGCAGGTAGGACTTGGGAGAAGGAAGCAAGCAGAGAAGTCCTGAGGTCCCCTCCAGATCACAAGCTTTGCACGAGTGCACCCCTGACACCAGCAAAGACTGTCTTCCTGGAGGAAGCCGTAAGCTAAGGCTCTCCTCTGTGGTCTCTGGAAATGTTGAAGCATGGGAATCTGGGCAAGCCCTACAGATCAACCCTGCCTAGAGGCAAGGGTCAGTCCTAGGAAAAAGGCAATGGGCACTCCAGATGACTGTCAAATCACTGGACTCTTCTTCCAGCCTGATGTGAAACTCCTATCTAGTGCAGGAACTGTGTTTTAGCCTCTGGTCCCAAGCCCTGAGGGGTCTTCCTGACAAGCAACTTGGGGCTAGCACTAAGGCATGCCTACACACAGCCTCACTGTGTCCCTTCCCCCCAGGGACTCAAAAGCTATAGTCACAGGGCTGCCCCTTCAGACCCCACACGAACCAGTCCCAGACAACCGGGACAGAGAATGTACCCAGTCTTGGCTATCACCCAGGGCCAGGTGCCCACAGGAATCCTGCCAGGCTGTGGTGATGACTGCTACCCACCCTCCCTACAGACCAGAGTTTCTTATTATGCATCTAAAGTACTCAAAGAAGAGCACAGGAGGAGTGTTGCTGGCCAACGGGTCCCTGGGTATGAGCTGGTTAAGGTCCTTCTTTTAGGTCCCTGCAGTCTCTTGTCTCCATCCTGGAAAATCCCAAGGGCCCTTGGACAGTCTTGCTGGCCCAGGACTCTGGATGCCCTTGCCCTTCCAGGGACTGGGATGAAAACCAACATGGCAAACGCCATCCATGCCGGGCATCCGGTTCCTCACCCAGGACTCCTACCCCAGCATTCTTTATGACCTGTCTGTCCTAGACAGGTACTAAGAAGCTCAGCAGAACCCAGCCCCCAGAGAGGCCCAAGGTAGGAGAAATTAGAGGAGCAACCTCAGGAGAAACTGGCCCTAAAGGACGAAGGGGTGCTGGGATTTAACAGGTTGAGTCCACACAACAAGGATGAGAAAGCAGGAGTAAGGGTTGTGGGCATGCCAGGATGGGCTAGGAAAGGAGATGATGAAAGGAGAAGATGGTGGTGGTGTTGGTGCTGGTGGCGGTAGTGGTGGAGGAAAAGGAGGAAGAGAAAGGTGAGGAAGAGGAAAAGGAGGAGGAGGAGGAGGAGAAAGAGGAGGAAGAGGAGGAGGAGAGCGGCAGCAGCGGCGGTGAAGGCTGTTTGGTACCAGCTTCAGCCTAAGGTGCTCGCCCAAGGGCAGAGTATCGGTTAAGGGAATAAAGAGACAGGTTCCTATGGGAGCCCCAGAGACGGTGGGACCAGAGCTCGGAGTCCCTAAGCTGAATGGTGTGTCCCAGCCAGCGTTCTGTCCCAGGAACCCGGCCCTCGCTCGAACTGAAGTCCAGGGACCACCTGCCCCTACCCCAGCCTGCCAGAAAGCGCTGCGGAGGGCGCCGGCCCGTGACTCAGCCGTGCGCTGCGAGTGTCAGCGGACCAGGGCACAGCCGAACCCTTTGCCGGAGGCCCGGAAGCCCGCGGAAGCGTCCGGCCCGGTACAGGGTCTCCGGTGGCGCCCTCCCGGGGTCTGCGCGCGCCTGGGCTCTGCACGTGCACGCGGGGAGCGCACTGGCAAATTGGGCGCCCGGCCTGCGAGCCCCTAAGGACGGGCGCGGTTCGCTCACCGGGCTCCGGCGCTTCAGCGTCACGTTCTTCCAGAGCAGCAGCTGCAGCTGGTGCAGGAAGCCCATGGCCAGGCCGCGCTCCGCCGCCTCAGCGCCGCGGCCCTCTCCTCTGCGCGCCCCGCCGGGCCCCGCTGCCCGCCGCGCCGCTCGGCATCGCCCGCGCGGGGGCGGGGCGCTCGAGCGTCCAGGACCTGCTGCTCCCAGGCTCCGCCCCGGCGGCCGCAGCTACAGGGACTCGCTGTCGCGCCCGCGCCCGCCGCCCCCGCTTAAAGGCATCTCCGCGCTCGGGTAGCTGCCAGGAGGCGCCCAGGCCCGCCAGGCCCGGGCCCGCCTGCACCTGCGCACAGCACTAGGCCTCTCTGCTCATTGGGCCCCTAATACAATGTTCCCAAGATCCCTCACAGCCCCCATCTAAACCAAGATCTGGGCTCGCACCTTTCTGAGGTCTAGGGAGAACCCGGGCACCCTATGCTTCTCCCAGGGGATTCCAAATATGTGTCTCCAATTGGGAGATTTATGCAGAGGGGTACCCAAGGTGTTCTACTGTCCTGTTTGTAACACTGAAGGAGGTTTGGTCATCATTAGGTTGACCTTCCTCGAATGTAGAGACAGGAAGCAGGGTCAGTCACTCATTTAGAGGAGAGACATTGATCCATTAGGAGAATGCCATCAAGACTCAAGGTGCAGCACGCAGCCCAATAGCATAATGGGACTTAGACAATTTAAAGAGGAGCCTGGTGAGAGGAACTGCGGTGGTCAGACTACCTTCACAAAAGCTTTCTGTTTGCCTTATAGATGAGACAGTTACTGATGAAGTGACATTTGCCTAAATTATCAAAATGAAAAGCAACAGCAGAGCATGGGAGCACTTACCTTTAGCCTCGGCGCTCAGCTAGGGGAGGCAGAGATAGGCAGATCTCTGTGCGTTCAAGTCCACCCTGGTCTCCATAGAGAGACCATATCTCAATAAAATAAACAATACAGAGCAACCACACACATGTAATCCCAGCACCAAATAGCCAGAGACAGAAGGATCAGGAATTCAAGGATATCCTTGGCTATATAGAGAATTCAAAGCCAGCCTGGGCAACATGAGACCCTGTTCAAAATACACACACACACACACACAAACACACACACACACATGCACACACACACTCGCACACACCACACACACATACACAAGTTAGGCACCTTCAATGGTCAGAGACATTGTTTTGAGGTCCAGGGTGTCATCCAAACATGTTTCTCTCAGAGTTTTAGCTGAGTTAAGAAGATGTAAGGTGCAGTTGCATGGGTCACTGCAGCCTCCCTGGGATTTCCATGCAGGTGAGACAAGTGCTCAGCAGGCCGGGCAGCAGAAATGCTTACCAGGCATGAAAACACCTCGTGAAGGGCTGAGCTGGAAACTGCAAACTGCTAAAGGTGAGAGAGCCTTAATTCTGGCCTGAGAAAGTTAGTTTATATTCAAAATGGTGCGGAGACATCACAACTGTGAAATTTTACCACAGTCATTCATTGTGGCTGCCAGGTCAGGCCTCACCGCTCTAGCCAGACTGCCGCTCTGAGGGTGAGGGAACACAAAAGGGGCTCGAGAGCAGGGGTGACTGCGAAGACAGTCTGTCCTTTATATAAGTGGTTTACTTGCTACCCCAACATCACCCACCTCCCCACCCCTTCATATTCACGCCCACCAGCTTCTTTCTGCTCGTCAAGCCTGGCATTTGGTGGGTCCTTATTTCAGAAATGTTTGAACGTGGGCCTATTGATACTGTTACAGGACTACTTTCTCCATATGGCCGGCAGGGGGTAGCAGAGGGCCACTAGCACCTCAGATGCCCTGAGGACTGTGTCTGAAGGCTGCAGACAAGTTTGGGTTTCCCACCTGTGAATAAGGGGGTGGAGGCTGTGTCTGTGTGATGTTAAGCCTGGGACGTGCAGTTTGCTCTTAAAGTGAATGAAAACCATCGAGGGCTAAAGCTTCCTACCACTTCCCAGCTCCTTCTTTGTGGAGAGGTCCTTCTTGGGCTGAAGACACAAGACTCCGCCCAGCCACCAGCCTCAGGACACTTCCTTCTCCCCAGTTAGCCCATGAAGCTAGGTCAGGGCAGGAAGCCAAGGGCAGGACTTTCCCACAAACCACAGGGGTAGGGGAGCTTCCTGCCTATACTGGCACCCCATCCCCGGACAAACCCAGCCCATCCCAGGAGTGCAACCTGTCAGACACTCATAGGCTCACCCTCATCTCCTCCCCGCGCTCCCGGAACAACACCATGGGCTCCTGCAGCAGGCTCTTCATCAAAAGCCCTAACAGATACCTCTACCAGCCATCACAAATCATACCCTGTCACACAGGACACCCCTCCCACCTGAAACATATGACATGTGGCACCTCAGCCACAGCTGTGTTTGACCTCAGTTCTCAGACCTGTACCTGCATGGTTTTTGGGTTCCTGGTAAGGTGTCACTTAAGCAAGGGTCTCAGGCAGAAACAAGAAACCCAATGGCTGAGCAGAGAAAGCTGACCAAAGAGCTCCCTGCCTGGCAGACTTGACCCAGGGGATTTCTGTCAGTGTCTTTATTAGTGGTGCCTCTTCCCCTGAGGGGACTGTGGTGTCAAAAGCCCAGATCATCCACATGGTCCTTCCACAACCCCCTGGCCCAGCATACAGTTTGCACCCAGAGTTTTAGAACCTGCACCTGTATCCTTGAGGCTAAGCACCTTGATTGTGGAGGTTTAGGATTCTGTGCTTGTCCCAGTTCCAGAGATGCTGCCTCCCTTTTTCATCTGAGCCTTCAGCCATGGGCATGTTCAAGGTAAGTCAGGGACCCTCAGCCACCTTTCCCTTTTGACTAGCTTTTACCATATGCTCCTTATCAGTTACTTGTCTCTTGCCCTGGATCCCTACTCCAAAGCCCACCAGAGTCCTCATTCATATGACTTCTCAGTCCAGTCTTCTCCTCATAGCCTGACTTCCTGTTCACTGACCTAAGCCTGGGGTTAATCCCATGGTGACCCAAAAGCCTGGATGCCTAGCTCTTCGGTTTCAATATCAGTCTTCCACCCACACTCTCTCTCTCAGCAGCAGGAGTTCAAGCCTGGAACCAGCTTTCAAGGTCTTCATATACCTGGTTTCGGGGCAAGTGAGAGTATCGGGCACAGATACTGCAGAAGCGCTCCCTCCAGTCATCCAGGAGGCGCACATGGAACTGCTCCCGCCAAGCAAAGAAGCCACGATAGCGACTCTCATTCATGCTGACAAGAAAGCTGGCCAGTTCACGGGCAGAGCTGAAGTCATCCACGTGTACAAAGGCGTCAGGTGGCACAAAAGCCTCGTAGGTGGCCCGAGGAGGTCCCAGTACCACAGGCACAGCACCAGCGGCCAGTGCATTGCGCCAGAACTTCTCAGTGATGTAGTCCCGATGCTGTGAGTTCTCAAAGGACAGGTAGAAGCGGTACCGGGCCACAGTGGGCAGCAGACAGTTATCGCACAGGGGCCGCCCGCTGGCGTGTCCAAACACATCCACCGGCAGATGAGGTGCCAGCTGTCGGTACAGCTTTGCACGCTGCTGCCGCTCCTGGAAATTGCTGATCACCCAGGCAGCCATCCTGTTTTTGGCCGGTAGTGGGGGTGTAGGCTCAGAGAGGGGCTCCAAGCGACCATAGGGTACAAAGATATCTGAATCACGCCGATAGCTCAGCACCCAGTTGAAGATGCCCCTGAAGTGATGGAGACCATGGGTATTACTGGGGGATTCCATGGAGGCCCAGACCCAGGGCTGTCCATGCGGCCTCTGGATCAGGGGCAGGCGAGATCGCCGGGTCTCAAGCTCACGGTGGTGGAAGACCACAGCATCAGCACTGGCTAGCAGGCTCCGGTTAACACTCAGACGGCAGCTGGCCATGCCATAGTGAGTGCAGGTGTCACCAGGCAGCTCTGGTGGCTGATTGGTGAAAGGCCAGTGCCAGATAAGGATGGTGAGTGTGGGCTGAGGCACTGGGGCATCCCCAGGAGCTGATCCAAGCAGCCAGACAAGCCAGATTACCGTGAGTGTTGCACCTCCAGCTAGGCCCCCCCAGGCCCGCAGCCTCCGGGTGGGGTTGCACCCTGAAACAGAGTAAAGAAGGAGAAGCCTTGTCACCCTAGGCTCTGGGACACCCATAAACCCCCATCATCCTCAGCTGGGACTGCTCAAGGGCCAGGCACTCACCAATACAATTCATCTAGAGCCTTCTGGAATCAGTCAATTCATCTAGAGCCTTCTGGAATCAGTCAATTCATCTAGAGCCTTCTGGAATCAGTCA